TCTTTCTTTCTTTCTTTCTTTCTTTCTTTCTTTCTTTCTTTCTTCAAGACAGTGTTTCTCCTTATCTTTGGAGCCTGTCCTGGAACTAGCTCTTGGAGACCAGGCTGGCCTCGAACTCACAGAGATCCGCCTACCTCTGCCTCCTGAGTGCTGGGATTAAAGGCGTGCGCCACCACCTCCCAGCCTCAAAATCTCTTTCTAAAAGGCATGTTCACAATGGAGATAAGTATAACCTGGGTCACTTATGGGTCAGATCTTTGAGGTCAGATGAAAAGGTTCACCTTCTGATGCCTTTACACGGGGTGGGGGTGGGGGAATGAAGTAATAAATAACCAAGCACTTTGGCCACGCAAAACCATTAGCTTCCCTTGCAGAGTGTGGCCACAGAAAGCCCAAGGTATTGACATGGTGAGTTGTGTAAGCTGATGCCATAGAGATGCCTTTAAAAGTCTGGATACCCAAATTAAATGGACAAAACAAAGGAGCAGGCTCCACGTGGAGACATCTATAGAATGCCATTCTGTTTGTGCGTGGTGTGTGACCAGTTCTCATCTGGACAGCATGGTTTCTCTTTTTGAAAGCTTTAAACCATCTCTAATCAATTTCCTCTTTCTTCCTTTGCTTGTAAACCATGCCTGTAACCCTCCCCTCTCTCTGAGACGTAACTTAGACACTCTGCAGTTAGGGTTCCACACGGGACCAGTCACCATCCCCTCGCTGACTTGCGCATCTTAAAGAATGCACTAAGTGACACAAAGCCGCTCTGACTCCTGACAGACTTCAAATCCATTGGGGTTTTTATTTTTATGTCTGCTCCTTCTCCTAGCTCTTCTTCTGAAATACAAGACTAACAGGGTTGTTACTGCTCTCTAGGGTATCTCTGAGAAACAGGTCACATGAGTAGAATCCAGCACCAACTAAGATGCCAGGGTAAGCATCCATCTTGGTAGGGAGGCATGGCAGCTGGAGCAGGGAGCTGAGAGAGCACACCTTCGGCCACAGATTATCAAGAGAGAAAACTGGAAGTGAAGCCTTCCTCCAGGGACCTGCTTCCTCCAGCGTTACTGCACCTCCTAAAGGGCCCGTAACACTTCCCCAGACAGTGCCACCAGCTGGGGATCAAGAGCGCAGATGCCGGAGCCTAAGGGGGACATCCCCATCAAAACTGCTGCATAATCCATGAAGCACACGGATGTCAAGCGCTGCTGTTAGTGCTCATTTCCTGCATCTCCAAGAAGCGAGTAATTCTGTGTAAAAGCACATTTCTCTCTGTGATCGAAGCGTTCCTCCTTTGGGGGTATGTTTTGTAGGAAATTTAAATACCCAGGGCAGGAAAGGTAGTTCAGCAGGTAAGAGCACTAACTGCTCTTGCAGAGGACCTAGGTTCCATTCCCAGCACCCACATGGCAGCTCACAACCATCTGTCACTCCATCTCTAGGAGATCTGATGCCTCTTCTGGCTTCTGCAGGCACCAGGCACAAAGACACACATGCAGGCAAAACACCCATACCCAGAAATGTTTTAAAATGGAAAAGAATAAACAAAGGAAAGTGGCACACACACACGCCTGTCTTTTCAGTGAGTATCACACAACCCTCTGGGGTGACACAGCTCATTATGGTAGGCACATGATGCTGAAACAGGAGGCAGAGAGTAGGGCAAGGAGTGGAGGTCAGATGTACCCTTCAAAGACACCTGGTGACCAACCTTTGTCACCTCCTAAGGACTCTAACCTCCCTCCCAAGATATCACTAGACCAAGAATAGAATGCAAAACCTGAGTCCATGGGAGATGTTTCAGATGCAAACCATAGCAAGGTCCGAGTGTGCAGTGCAACCAATGTCCTTCTTTAATGTTAAGCTCAGGGGGGCAGTTGACTTTGAGAAGCCCAACAGATAGTGTTGGTCACATCTAGCCCCCCAGGCCAGCTGGGTCAGTGTCCTGAGGCTTCTGGCCACTGCCCTTCTGTGCTTTCTCTCCCGGCTCCATTCTCATCTGCTATCTACAGAGTTTGCCCTCCAGAGTCACGGTATTGCAAGGACTCCTGGGAGCTAGAGAGTGCTCTCCACTCTATGACGGACACTTCTCATTCAATCATCCAACCATTCATCGCCCCATCCCCCCTCTTCATCTCTCATCTGATCATTCAACCATTCATCTCCCCATCCCCCCTCTTCATCTCTCATTCCATCATCCAACCATTCATCTCCCCATCCCCCTCTTCATCCCTTATCCATCATCCAACCATTCATCTCCCCATCCCCCCTTCTTCATCTCTCATCCGATCATCCAACCACTCATCTCCCCATCCCCCTTCTTCATCTCTCATCTGATCATCCAACCATTCATCTCCCCATCCCCCTATTCATCTCTCATCCGATCATCCAACCATTCATCTCCCCATCCCCCCTCTTCATCCCTTATCCATCATCCAACCAATCATCTACCCGTCCTTCCCCCTTCTTCATCCCTCATCTGATCATCCAAGTCACCTGATGTCACTGAGCGCAGTGCCTGAACTCCAGACCTCCCCTGACCTCTTCTCCTTGTCTCATACATTTCATTTTCTATGCAGCTACCCAGAGTGGAAATCATTATTTCTTCCCTTCTGAGACTCTGGGAGCTGTTGCAGGAACATACCCATAAAGCCATAGTGTAACCACAGGCCTTCATGATGTGCCTCCACCTGCCCCTGGAACTTGACCTCCCTCCTCTAAGGATGCTGGTGCCCCATCAGTGGCCTTTCTGTTCCTTAGTTGGACCAGAACTGTGCCTACCCAGGGCCTTTGCAAGTTGAGGTGGAAGGGAGGGAGCCCAGCTAGGGCCAAGCACTGTTCACAGAAATCATCAGCGTCACTGGATCGTGGATTAATGAATGTCCATGTGAGGACTGACTTGCATCGCTGTCTTCCTGAACTCCATCCTCAAGAAGCCATGTTGGGTGCCATTTGTAAACGGAGACTGCTTATTTGTTTCCTGGCTGCATGGGCCCAAATAATCACACAGAAACCGTATTTATTACAATACTGTGTGTCCGATGTCTCGGGCATATTTCTAGATAGCTCTTATATCTTAAATTAACTGATTTCTATCAATCTGTGTATCACCACAAGGCTGTGGCCTACCGGTAGGCATCTTTCTCCTTCGGCAGCTACGTAGCATCTCTTTGACTCTGCCTACTCTTTCTCTCTCTCTCTCTCTCTCTCTCTCTCTCTATATATATATATATATATATATATATATATATTCCAAAGCAACTTTATTCATTAGTCAATAAAAGCAACATGTATACAGAAGGACATCCCACATCGGCTCCTCCTCTCTCTTTTAAGCTTAAAGCCTGCCCACGGTGACATACTTCCTAAACCTCCTAAAGCTCCCCAAACAGTCACCGACTGGGGACCAAATGATTAAAGGTCTGAGAGTAGGGACATTTCTCCTTCAAGCCACTGCTCCAGTGACAGCCTGCCTTCCTGCCCCTGTGCCTAAAACTATGCTTGGCACTCAGCAGGTACTCCTTCAATGACTAGATATCTTTTGGGTGCTGGGGATGGACCCCAACACCTTGCACCTACTCTACCACTTAGCTACACCCACAGCTCAATATCCATCCAAAGGTTCCCTGCCTATCTGAGCACAGAATACAAAGGGCACTGGCCTTGCCCGCCTGTAGGGAAAGAGACGGGCAAAGGGTGACAGTTCCAGACACTGGAGGTTTAAGGAAGGTATGCCAATGCCAGGTCTCACCTCGGAGACATTATAATACTGGTGCATCATGGAGGTTGTCCATGCTCCTGATTCTGCCGCAGACCTTGCCTTCACCTTGAACTAGTTAGGTCCACTCCCTGCTCTTTACAGTGGGGTGTGGACTGCCTACTAGACACCTAGCAGGGCTGTTGGGAACATCAGTCCCTGTCTAGGTAAGGCAAGAATACAGATGCCAGCTCCTGTTTACTCTGAGCCAGCTCTGACGCAGCCACCATGCCCTAGGAGCAGAGTGTGTCTCCAAACACAACAGGTGGGCTGGTGGCACTCCGACTTATTCTCCCTCTGTAAACACCTCAGACCTCATTTTTCGTCACTCCTTTTATGGTCTCCTCTTAATATCTTCGCCAGAAAGAAGAATTTAGGAAGAAAAGTAAGTCGTTCGGGGCAGTGTGTCCCCCGAGGGCACTTTTCAGGTGCCATACCGCCCCCTGGTGGTCACAGATTTATTATTGGCTAACTATGGAATTTTAAAGAAAGCACCAACCACTGAATGATGACATCGTGGTCTTTAAAACCTTGTAACTTCCACTCCCGAGAGCTCATTTTAATGAAAACGGACCCTGCACATGGGTGAATATGTTTGCTCTATTATCTGTAATATTATCTATACCAGCAAGTCTTGGAAACAAATGTCTAACAATAGGGACACAAGCTGTATCAGTAGAAAAACATTGGACCTTGACTGGATCAGTGTCAACAGTTCTGAGCACCGGGTGGCACCATTGTGTCCCAGATCTCCTGAGTGTGCTGGCCTTGTGGGTAAGTAGGGTCTACACACTAGGGAACTGGGGCATAAAGGGACAGCCAATAGGCATCTCATTCTCAAATTGTTCACGGGGAGAGAGTCTTTTGTGATAATATATTATGCTAAATTAGCTTTTGAGGTGTTTGTGGTTTCTCTAGTTGCTTATTTTTGAGACAGAGCTTCACTGTGTAGCCAGCCCTTGATGACCTGGACTAGACCTCGAACTCACAGAGATCCCCTGCCTCTGCCTCCAGGATGCTGGGGTTAAAAAGATGTGCCCCCACCCCTGGCTACGGCGTAGTTTTTATTTGTTTATTTCTTTAATCAGTTTTTGATGCTGGGAGTGGAATTCTGGGCCTCGTGCGTGCCAAGCCAAGCACTCTACCGCTGAGTTACACTCCCCACCCAGCGATTCCTGTTTCAGTTTTATTTTTGAAAGCCTCAGGTGGGCTCGCAGTGGGTCATCGCAGTGTCTGCTCCCTGCAGCCTTCAACACCGCCAAGTGTGAGAAGCTGCAGAAGGAGAAGGAGGCGCTGGAGAGGCGGTTCGAGGAGGAGCTGAGAAGGCTGGGCTGGCAGCAGCAGGCCGAGGTGCAGGAGCTTCGGGAGCGGCTTCAGCAGCAGTTCCAGGCCGAGAGCGCACGCCTGCGGGCGGAACATCAGGACCAGCTGCTGCGCATGCGCTGCCAGCACCAAGAGCAGGTGAGTTGGCTGGCAGTTCGGCACAGGTGATGGGAGAAGAGCCTGAGGCACTTGAGAAAATGGGTCAAGTTCACTCTCCAGCCTCATTCTGGCTCTCTCTGCACCCGGTGCCTAGAATGCTGTTTCTGCAGACGCCATGGCACCCTCTCCTCCTTCTAGGTCTAAAATTAGTTCTCTGTGAGAACTTACCTGAGATTGCAGTTTTACACGTGATCCTTATTGGTCATCTGTTCTTTGCATATTCTCTGTGGGCAAAGGGGTGTTAAGCAAACCTGTGCATAGACCAGGTTCTGCACCAGCCACTAAACTTGATGTACGCGGACTCCATCACCCTGCCAGATGCCGGTTCTATCCCCATTTTACAGGTAAGAAGACAGAGTCCCAGGGTTAAGTAAGACACCAGAATTCTGTCGCATGGAGTGTGAGCAGAGGGTACTCATCTTCTTTGAAGACCGCACTGCTCATCAGCTTATCCCACAAAACTCATCCTAAAAATCCTCCATTTTCTTTAAAAAGTCATCCTCGAGAATGAAAGGTGAGTGGCAGGAACAGCGCCCCATGAGGAGTTTGAACAGGCAGAGACCACTAAGCCTATCACCTTCTGTTATGTCTCCTTAACCCGCCCACCCAGCCAGCTCTATTTGCCCGGCAGGAGAATACACTCTACACAAACAGAATGAGCCCCCAGGGCATGTCTGGCACAGGAGACCTTGTGCTGAGAAGAGGCGGTACAGGGGAGACGTGGGTCTCGGGTTCACTGCCCTTTAGGCTGAAGAGGAGGCTACAGTGGGAACCCGATGGATTCAGTGTGGAAGCTCCAGCTCGGCCTGCCACCACGTGCTCTGGGCCAGTGTCTAGGAGACTGGGGTGAAGCAGGGGGCTGGGCTCCTGGTTGGTGGGCGGGTGCAGGAGGGAGTAAACACGGGCTGGCTTTCTCTTGCTCCTCTGATGAGGATGCGCAGCTGGGATAGGGGCAAATGGTAGTTTAATCTGGTTTGAGGTTAATGAGAAAATGAGCGCACGTGATGCTCCATTCAGAATACATCTTCTGGAAGTGACTCGCCAAATCCCCAGTTAATTGCCTCTGGCATGTGGCTAAAAGTAAAGCCCACGACTCCTTCCTTGCTCGCCTTAGGCAGCAGCTTTCCTCCCCTGGTGTCTCTGTACCCAGCCCCGCTGAGTAGCAAGCTGACTCCAGAACGGAGTCCTGCTACAGGGAATAGCTCTTTCTCCAAATTGCTGGTTCCATTTGGTGGGTGACCTGGCAGCCTCCTCCATGGAAGAGCCCCGAATCCCGTCTCTGTGAAGGGGGCAGACGGTAGACAGCAGTGGTCTCACGGGGCTCTCTCTACCCAAGGTTCTAGACAAAAAAGAAAGCTCTTCAGGCAATAGAAGCTTTCTGCATTGGTTATCTTTCTGTTGCCATGATGAAACGCCATGCCAAGAAACCAGTTTATGGAAAACAGCTTATTTTGGCTTTCAGTTCCAGTGGGTAAGATTCTATCGCAGGAAAGTCAAGGCAACAACCAGCAGGGCAGGCAAGATGGCAGGAGAAGGGAGCTGAGAGTTCACATCCTCACTTGTAAACAGGAAGCAGAGGGTGATCTGGAAATGACGTGAGGCTGTAAACTCTAAAACCCACCCCTGGTGACCGACCTCCTCCAGCAAGGCTTCATTCACCACCTAAACATCCCCAAACGCTACCTCGAACCCAGGACTCAGCATTCAAGTATGGGAGCCTATGGGAGTCGTTTCTCTTTGAAACCGCTCTGCTTGCCCCTGGCTGACAGTGTAGGATAACCTTTCTCTGATTTTGTCAATTACAATACATTAACCCATCTTTTGTGCCCTTTGGGAAAACCGGTCTAAATTCGAGCAAATATCTTCTGAGGGTTTTGACATCTCAGGCTGAGCTTTCCTACTTCCTGTCTGTGAGCTCCTGCTCTGCAGAAACTGGTACCATAGGAAGAGAAGCCATAGATATTAATAGCTGACAGGAGAGAGGAGTCCCACAGTAGACAGAACCATTTCCTGCCTAAGGGGGAGGGGGGGTCTTTAAAATCAAAGAGACGTGAGACCGAAATTACTGAAGAGCAAGCATTTGTTGAAATAGTAGCTCACAAGATTCCATTGATACCTTTCTGGATATTCCGGCCATTCCTTTAATTCCATATGGCTCATTGGAATTAGAAAGTCAACATTTCATTCATAAAAGCACCTCCCAGAGGCTGAAAAGGACATCATCCTTACTGTGTTGATGGTAGTAATCCCTCAGCACTAAATCACAGATGTGCCATCTAACAGGCCAAGGCATACACCTTGGCTGCCGACATAATGGACTGTTACCAGCTGAGCCGTATTTACGACAGGGACATCGATCCTTCTGGAAGTTTATCTTTGTATCTACCTTTCTTTTCTGAAGCTCCTCGTAGAAATTTGTGTAAGAGATCAGTAGTGTAGAGTCCCACCAAGGACCGAGGAAAGGTCCTTTACACCTGGGTGTGTAAGAACCGTGCCCCTAGACAATATGTGGTGTTTATTTTTTACAGAGAGTGCTGTGAGGGGGCTGGAGAGATGGCTCAGAGGTTAAGAGCACTGATTGCTCTTCCAGAGGTCCTGAGTTCAATTCCCAGCAACCACATGGTGGCTCACAACCATCTATAATGAGATCTGGTGCCCTCTTCTGGCATACAAACATACATTGCAGGAATGTTGTATACATAATAAATAAATAAATCTTAAAAAAAAGAGAGTGCTGTGACAATTTTAGTGGAGCAGAAAGGGACGAGTCTATTGCCTATGTGTGTTTATGTGCACTATTGTGCATACAGATACCCACAGAGACTAGAAGAGGGCTCTGGTCCCCCCTAGAACTGACATTATAGACAGTTGTGAGCTGCCTGCTATGGGTGCTGGACAACGAACCAAAGTCCTCTGTTAGAACAAGAAGTGCTCAAAACATCTGAGCCATCTCTCCGGTCCCCTTTGTTTCAACCAATTGCTTATTTTATTTTGCCTCACACTGAGAGGTTTTAGACAGAAATCCCATTAGAACCTGCTGCCAACAACTGGGTGATTAAATCCTGTTCTAGTCATCCCCGCTTCTGAGTGATTCAGAGCGCAGAGCCACAAGTGATTTGAGGCTCAGGTCACTTTAATCAATAATGCCCAGTCATTGTAGTGACATGATGCTTCTAGGTCCACATTATCACTGAGATGTTGTAAGCTCCTTGTTGGCTCTGACCAGTGATTTTCCTGTTTTAAGAAATAATAATTTGTGACGGGGGTGGGGGGGGGGAGAGAGAGAGAGAGAGAGAGAGAGAGAGAAGAGACTATCCTAGGAAGGTTGCTTGTTGGTAGAAAAGCTTAGAAAAGCTGTTCTCAACCCCTTTGGGTAGTCTCATATCAGGTACCCTGCATATCAGATGTTTACATTATGATTCATACAGTAGCAGCTTACAGTTATGAAGTAGCAATGAAATAATTTTATGGCCTGGTCTGAGGAACTGTATTGAAAAGTTGAAGTATGGGGGGGGGGGGGTTGGGAACCACTGTGGAAGAGTATTTGCCTAGCATAAATAAAGATGATTTGTTCCCTGACACCAGAGACAGACACGGAGACAGAGAAAGGTTGTAGGGGGAGATGATAGATTATTCCAAATGGAAATTCGTTCATTGTCATTATTGTTGGAATGTGAAATGTCCCCAGTTCCTCTCGTGTCAAACTCCTGACTGCAGCCGATGCAGCTATTTTGAGAAGTGATGGAAGGGCCAAGAGCCCTCAGGGCTCAAGAGCTCTGGCTGCTCTTGCAGAGGACCAGAGTCCCATCGCCAGCACCCGCATCAGGCAGCCCACGACACCTGTAACTCCAGCTCTAGGGAATCTGGTGCCTTCTGCATATACCCACATACAGACACATGCACGCACACACTAATAAAAATAAAATAATTTGGGACTGAAGAGATGGCCCAGTGGTTAAGAACACTGGCTACTCTTCCAGAGAACCTGGCTTCGGTTCCCAGAACTTACAAGGCAGTGCACAACTGTCTGCAAACTCCAGTTCCAGGAGATCTGACACCCTCATACAGACATATATACAGGCAAAAGCCCAGTGTACATTAAATAAACAAATCTATTTAAAAAAAAAAAAAAGAAGGAGCCCTGACTAATTTTCCAGAGGAGCCGTGCCCAGTCTCAGCACCTATGTGGAGCTGCTCACAACCCCTTGTTCTTGGGGGAATCTAAATACCCTCTATGGCCTCATACTGCACACATGCCCACCCCACCCCCCACACATGTCAAACCTACGCCTTTGTTTCCTCATCTGCAAAATGGGCATAGAAATGCCTACCTCCTAAGGGTGGAAGGGGTAGATGCTCACTGAGAGCTTAGGAAAGAGTAGTTCCCACTCACCTGACACTGGGGTACTTTGAGAGGAGGCATGGAGAACTCTTCCTGCCCCATCACTTCCTGACAGGGTGAAGGAAGAACATGATGGAGTGGTCCAGGACTCTGCAGAGGTGCCTGGGACAGTCCTTCCGGGGTGGGGCTTATTTGTTTGTTTGATTGCTTTTTGTTTTTTGAGACAGGGTTTCTCTGTGTAGCCCTTGCTATCCTGAAGCTAGCTTAGTAGACCTAGTCCTTGGGGGATCTAATACCCTCTTGTTTCTTTTTTTTTTTTTTTTTTGATTTTTCGAGACAGGGTTTTTCCGTAGCTTTTGGTTCCTGTCCTGGAACTAGCTCTTGTAGACCAGGCTGGCCTCGAATTCGCAGAGATCTGCCTGCCTCTCCCGAGTGCTGGGATTAAAGGCGTGCTCCACCACCGCCCGGCTCTAATACCCTCTTAAGGTTGGCCTTGAACTCACAGAGACCCATCTGTCTCTGCCTCCCAAGTGCTGGGATTAAAGGTGCACACCACCACTGCCTGGCTGAGTTGAGCTTCTCTCTCTTTTCATTGAGTTAGGTTGTGGCACTTTGGTACTAGACTGGGGGTGCCAATCATCCCCGCGGAGTAACTTGTCTTTGGCAGGACTGCTAGCTTTGTCATCTTACTGAGCTGCACCTATGTTTTCCCAGCAGCAAAGATGATTTCAACAGCCACCCCAGCTCTCTGGATAACCAGTAACCATGCCTTTCCTTCAGGTGGAAGACATCACTGCCAGCCACGAGGCTGCTCTGCTGGAGATGGAAAACAACCACACGGTTGCCATCACGATCCTGCAGGATGACCATGACCACAAAGTTCAAGGTATCTACAAGCCATGAGCTGCAGGCCAGAGTGGCCATGCTGAGCCCCTCTGGCGGCAGAGCAAAGGATCCCTCCTTTCCTTCTTTTCTGTCCTTTTTTTTCCCCTTTCTACTGAAGCTTTTGTGTTCATTCCTATGAGGAGAAGAACTAGAAAGCGAGGCTTCAGGCAGGGCTGGGGGAGCTTGGCTAGCACATAGGAGGCCCAGGGTTCCATCGCCAGGCCCATGTCTAAAGCTTTATGAATCCTCGCGCTTACTTCTCTCCTCTAGAGGAGTTCTGTAAACCTTGAGGGAATATTAAAAATCCCCATGAGATTCTTACCACCCTGAATTCCTCCTTTTGCTTATTTTTCCCAGTCAGCTGGTTGTTCAACTATCTATTAAAAGCAATAAAAGTTAGCATTGAATCAATGTATTTTCAATATGAGAATTTACTTTGGAATTTTTTATTGGTTTTATTTATTTATTTATTATGTATACAATATTCTCTCTGTGTGTATGCCTGCAGGCCAGAAGAGGGCACCAGACCCCATTACAGATGGTTGTGAGCCACCATGTGGTTGCTGGGAATCCAACTCAGGACCTTTGGAAGAGCAGGCAATGCTCTTAACCTCTGAGCCATCTCTCCAGCCCCCAATTTTTTCTTGTTTTAAAATAGTCTTTCTAACAACAAACTGGCTGTAAGGTACTTGATGTTCACCTGTCTCCTCCCTCAAGCACCTTTGCCATAAGCCAAACGGGAGACAAGAGAGAAAAGGGCCCCAAGAACTGGTCCAGTATACCCGTATTTTGAATTACACATCCATTCCCTCGGCTACACTCTGAAATGACCTGGAGACTTTAAAAGGGAATGGCATGTAGACCCTGCCTCCAAAATTCCAGACTTTCCAAAACTCTACTATGCAGCGGGAGTCGAGAAGAATCACCTTAAAGAGCAGGGACGGAGTATCATGACTTTGTAATAAAGAAATGCATTGTGGGAAGCCAATATTGTATAGTAAGCAATAATATTTGTTCTCCATTCCCTTGGGGTGTTGGGAACCCCCCCCCCCAGCAGTGCTCATTCCCAAGCTACAGACACAGTCCCTCAGGGGAGGGGCTTTGGATGTATGGATTCTGTAAATTGTGATGTACCTGCTCTCTTTTCCCCTTGTATTTTCACACGAATAAGCCTGGTCGATTTTTTTTCTGACCAATGAAGTCTTGCTTTAGACACCCCATCCAAGGCCTTTGAATTGTTATGTATGAAGTTGTGATGGTATGAATCTATATAATAGGAGCTTAAAATTCATTGTGATATGTAGGGTGATGGTCTCAGTGGCCAATAAAACTAATAGTACACAGAGGCATATAGACCAGAAGGCCAATTCATATAGTCAGTAAAACTGGGGGCTGAACAGATGGTTTGGTGGTTAAGAGCACTGGCAGTTTTTGCAGAGGAGCCAGGTTCAGTTGCCGGCACCCACAAGATAGTTCACAACTATCTGTAACTCTAGTTCTTTTGGCCTTCCTGGGCCCCAGGCATGCACATGGTACACAACATACATACATGTAAGCAAACGCTCATGCACAAAATACAACAAACTTAAAAAAATAAAGTCAATAAAATAAACACAAATTTTATTTTTCCAGAGATGAAAACTTTGGCTGTGGAAACTAGATTCTTAACAGCCCTCATCACCATAAAGATCTGTGCTCATTGAAACTACATGGATTTCTCAGTTACAACTCCTAGTGACCCAAATGGTAATTGTTGGTATCCCCAGGACTCTCTTGTTCCAAAAACAGGATACAGGCTGATAAAGGAGACCATCACCCTTCTAGTCATACCACAAAAACAAATTGCTGGTCTACCCAGGATGAGATGGCTTTACCCAGATAATAAGACTCTTCCTGTCTAGAGGGGTCGGAATGCATTTTCTTAATACCTACATCACCTACATCATCACCTACGTCAATCACCTACATCACCTATATCATTACCTACATCATCTACTTCACCTACATCATCACCTATATCACCTACATCATCACCTACATCATCACCTACTTCACCTACATCATCACCTACATCACCTACATCATCACCTACATCATCACTTACATCACCTACATCATCACCTACATCACCTACATCATCACCTACATCATCACCTACATCACCTACATCATCACCTACGTCAATCACCTACATCACCTATATCATTACCTACATCACCTACATCATCACCTACATCATCACCTATATCATCACTTACATCACCTACATCATCACCTACATCATCACCTACATAATCACCTACATCATCAGCTACATCAATCATCTATATCACCTACACCATCACCTACATCACCTACATTATCACCTACATCATCACCTACATCATCACTTACATCAATCACCTACTTCACCTACATCATCACCTACATCATCACCTACATCATCACCTACATCATCACTTACATCACCTACATCATCACCTACACCATCACCTACATTATCACCTACATCATCACCTACATCATCTACATCATAACCCATATCACCTACATCATCACCTACATAACCTACATCATTACCTACATCACCTACATCATAGCCTATATTACCTACATCATCACCTACATCATAACCTATATCATCTCCATCACCTACATCATAACCTATATCACCTACATCATAACCTACATCATCACCTATATCACCTACATCATCACCTACACCACCAACATCACAACCTATATCACCTACATTATAACCTATATCACCTACATCATCACCTTCATCTGCATAATGTATAAGTTATTTCCTGGATGTGACTTTACACAGAACAGAGTTATCCCAAAACTCCTGAGAGAGACAGAGCAGTCAACCTTTCCTTCAGGTCGAATGTCTTATAACCAGTCTTTGTTCAAGCAAATTCTGGGGATCCCTAGTCCGCAGAGTATGACCCAGAGGCCACTAAGATGTCTTTGTTGACTCAGCACTGATCCCTCAAGCACACTGTGAAGCTGGCATGGTTGGCAAGATGTCATCTCCAATTGCTGAGTGAAAAGCTCCTTCCTCAGCCTGACATGGATGCTTTGAAGCCGGGAAAGCAAATCCTGGGGACAGAGGAAAACAACTGTTTCACTGTTAGGAAAGGTGGGACATTCAGCTGGTGCTGCTGGCAGAGGTTCTCACATGGCCTCATATGCAGCATACCCAAGTACGTGGGCACACGTACTGGTGAACACGCATGTGCTTTCTCTCAGCCCTCTTTCTTCCGGTCACTTCTTTCTTTCTCACAAACCACATTCCGATCACCACAGCCGACTTCCGACGAGCAGAAGAAACCTTGAATCTGCTGTAGCTGTCCATCATCTGTGTACCCAAAGTCACGTGTCCTCATCCGCCCAAACAGCCTTGTTCTGTGCTTCTCAGAAGAAAGGTCCATTTCATAACGATGTGATTTCTTCTTCCTTCTTTCCAGAACTGATATCTGCCCATGAATTTGAGAAGAAGGAACTGGAAGAAAACTTTGAAAAACTGCGTCTGTCATTACAGGTTCGTGGCTCCTTTGTTCCCTTGACTGGTGAAGAGGTCTCAGCACTGTGCCCACTGGCTAGCATTTATCTGATGCCCACTGTGTACTCAAATATGGAAACATATCCCCCATCCTTTAGAATCTGATTCTCCCCTTACAGAGCTGTGGAAAAAATAGAAAAGCACCAAGAAGCCACTTGAGCCTCATGAATAATGCAGAGAATGCTAATGAAGTTAATGAAGCATTTGCTGTGTCGGGGGTACCTGAAAAGTGGGGTGGGGGTGGGAAGAGAAACTTCTAGACGCTAATAATGTTGCAGAGGTCAGAATTGCAAAGGTTAGACCACATCCTGGCAGTTTTAAGATGGACTTAGGTTACCTGGAGATGGGCAGGATGGAAATCCCCCATTCTGCCTCTCATTGTTGCTCAGAGGAGGGTGTTGGTCTCATGTCAAATGAGTTGCCTGACTTCCTCCTGGTCTTCAGGGGGAGGGTGTGGAGTCCCTCAGGCACATTCATCACCCCCCTGCCTTCAGGAGACCAGCCAGCTGCCTTCAAAAGGCCAGCAGCAGCCCCAGGGCTAGAGTGAGCTGCCTGGGAAACTTCAGGGATGGGACAGATAAACCCTGATCCCAGCTGGGGAGGTTCTGACTAAAGAACATGGCTTTTCAAATGTCATGGTCACTCATGTGTGGAAATTGGGAACACTGTTCCCAGAACGTGTGTGCGAGAATCTTGCTTCTTTGGTGATGTCTCTGTCACAATGAGCCCGCCCCACAAGGAAAGAATCCAAGGTCACAGAGAGAACGTTGCAGAAAACGTAGAGACTGAGGTACAACAACTGAGTACTTGTCTAGCCTGTCACCAAGTCCCTTCCCCTCCTGCCCCCTGAGGCTGTAGAGTTCTGTACCTCTCCATCCGGCGCAAACTTTTTGAGCTGAACGTTGGTGTGTGGAGCAGAGAGTTACTGAAGCCCACTGCTTAGCACTACTCCACACCTGGAGCAACTGCTTGCTTGAGCAGTTAGAGATCCATTCTGCACTCTATCAGATCTTTCTAGCTCTGGAGCTGGGATGGTGATGCACCTCTGTCCACCTCAGGTACCTGCCCGTGAAATGGGGCTAACAGTAGCTTTTTCTCCAAATGTGAGCAGATGAAGGAGATCAAGCTCAGAGGCTGAACAACCCTAGATGGTTTTGCGTGAGAACCAAGAAGAAACAGCTACCACGAGCTGTTCCAGCAGTGTGGCGTTTATTATTAGCATGCCATTTGTTGATTTTCGAGAGGCCTGTGCTGGGTCAGACCACTCGAAGGATCTAAAGTAGTCCACATGGGTTAAGAATCGTTTCTTCCTGTCTTGACTGCGGCAGGATCCTTCCATCCCTGCTGGTCTGTTTGGAAGAGTGAACAAGGCAGGAAGATGTCGGTTGGATGGCTTAGATCCATCTGGGTAGTTGTTGTTTAGACTTTTGTGTTGTTTTGATTTTTAATGGTGGGAAAGAGGCTTACAAGAGATACTTCCTGCCAGGTGGCAGTGGCACTCAGGAGGCAGAGGCAGGCAGATCTATGTGAGTTCGAGGCCAGTCTGGTCTACAGAGTGAGTTCCAGGACAGCCAGGAGTATTACACAGGGAAACCCTGTCTCGAAAAACCAGAGAGAGAGAGAGAGAGAGAGAGAGAGAGAGAGAGAGAGAGAGAAGAAATGTCTTTAGGTAACTCCTAAGAAGTATGGCAAGGGAGTCAGATAGCACCAGACATTTTGTAGTCCATTCTGGAAGGTGAAGGCGGTGGTGACGTAGCCCATTGCTGACCCACGGGAGCTTCTTCAAAACTGAGGTTTTGACTCCTTGGCTCATATGAATGCAAACTCCCACTGGCATCCGTATGATCCCCACGTGCTTTTAATGGCAATATGGGGACTTTTGCTTCTTAAAAATGAAAGGCAAGTAACTGGAAGAAAGAAAAGAGAGGAAAAGGAACCTGCCCAGGGAAGTGGGGAAACGGAGGCTCTCTGCCATGGTGAAGGAAGGAAGTAGCCCTGTGGGCTGGCACACGCATGGGGCTGTCGAGCAAAGTCACCTCATTTGCAAGTCCCGGCTCTTTCTGATCACTAGCTGAGTCGTGTCTCTTGCAGAAGAGTTCATGACAGCCCTTGGCCCCTGTGTTTTAACCCAGCAGAAATGGAGCCATTAGGGGGACTTGTGGGAAGAGGTGCTGTTTAGTCACGGAGAGTTCAGAGCCACCAGCAAGCACCCTTCTTGTGCTGTGGTGACTTCACTGTCACCGTGACCGAGAGGATCTCCTTAGCCACATTTGCTCAGAAGCTCACCAGGAGCCCAGTGTACCATAGGCATGTATGCCTTCATTCCTTCTGCACACACAGACTGCGGTCACAAGGCGGGGCTGCTTGCTGGTCTAGTGGGGAGAGAACTAAACTGGAGGAGAATGGGTGGCTCCCCTCATAGAACAGCCCAGCTCTGAAGTCAGAAAGATGCGTTGAGGGTCAGCAGTAAGCCTGGAATGAGAGGATCCTGGGCAAGGCAGCCGCTCCTCCCTTCCACGTTCTAGTCGGCTTTCTGTTGCTGTGAGAAAACACTGACCCAAAGCATCTTGCGGAGGAAAAGTTTTCTTTGGCTGACAGGTTACAGCCCATCATTGAGGGATGCTGAGGCAGGAGCTCAAGGCAGAAAGCTGGAGGCAGGAACTGATGCAGAGACTGTGAAGTAGTACTGCCTTCCTTATACAGCCCAGAACCATCCGCCTAGGGATGGCTCTGTCCACAGTGGGCGGGGCCCATCCATGTTCATCATCAATAGAGAATACCATGCGATTCAATGGAGGCAATTAATTTGAAGTTCTCTCTTCCGAACTTGTATCAGGGTGATAAAAACTGACCTGCCCAACCCCTAGTGTCCATCCATGTGGCCCCGGGGGAACATCTCTTGTCACTTGCAGGACCAGGTGGACATGCTGACTTTTCAGAGCCAGTCTCTGCGGGACAGAGCCCAGCGCTTTGAGGAAGCCCTACGGAAAACCACAGAAGAGCAGCTGGAGGTAGTCATCACTACCTGGGCCTCCTAGTGGGTGGGGACATGAACTGGCTTCCCCTGCAGTCTTGCCTAGGGACGAGGCCTCCACACTGAAGCTGCTGCTGCAGAGGGCGCTGGTCCCAGCTGCATTAAGATGTGTATGCAGTGCCTGCCAGCACTTCTCTCTGAGACAGACCATAACCATAGGTTTCTCCAGCAACCTGCCCTTTCTGCCAAAACCCACAGCACTCGTCAGGCAGGGTCCCTGGGTGCCTATGGTGTAAACTCCTCTCTGCCTGGAGACAGCCCACACCGTGCTTCTCCAACTGTGTTTTAAGCTGGTGCAGGACAGGACCAACTAAGATGTGAGTTATGAGGTCAAAGGTTAACTTTTTTCAAGAATAACTAGCAAACCTCCTACCATCTGATGCAGTGTTTGAGAGAGGCGAAGGTTGAGGATGAGCATCTTCTGCTGAAATACTGTACTGTTTTTTATCCTGTGATGTCATAGATTGAAGCTAGGGCTTCACGTGGGCTAGACAAGTGCTCTTCCACTGAGCCAAATCCCTAGCCCCCCTCCTGCTCTTTCCCATTTAGAGACAGAGTCTCATGAAATTGCCTAGGTTGGCTTTGAACTTTCCACCCACCCCTCTGCCTCTGCCTCTTTGAGGGCCTAGGATTACAAGCCTAAACGGCCACAGCCGGCTTGAATTTTTTTTCAAGGTTTTCTACCTGAAATTCCAATTCCAACCAATGTCCTGCCTTTTTGCTGCTTGCATCCACTGATCCTAACATGTCTTTCTCATAAATGGCTTTTAAAACAGAGGAGAGTATCTTTAGTACAATGAGCATGTTCAATGTCCTTCAACATTTATTATTGCTAGACTTCATACCTGAATACTGTATTTACATCATTAAATCCACACTCTTTCCCCTCCAACTCCTCCATGCTCCCCTCAACTTCATGACCTCTTCTTTGATTACTATTGCGACAAACACACAGACAGACAGACAGACCAGACAGACAGACAGAACCTGCGGAGTCCATCTAGTGTTGCTCACAAGCACATGTGATTGGGATTGGATGACCTGTCAGGGGGCATGTCCCTGGAGAAGACTGATTCTCCCTCCTTCAGTAGCCATTGGTTGCCCATAGCTCTTCATCTAGGGATGGGGCCAGGTGAGATCTCCCCCATCCACACTGCTTTACTTGGCTTATCTTGTAGGCAGGAACTTATGGGACTACTCACGGGCACAGGTGAGACATGTGAGGCCCCAGAGCCCTGTGAATCAAGTCCCCTGGAAGGCTGTTCAGAGCCTGTGCTAACCCAGGAATTCCCCGTCGGAAGCGCTGGCACCTGCTCCCTCCCAGATACCGTGGGCACACATGCATAGCCTTGGTCCCAGAGGGCTGTTCCGGGCAGCTGTCCTAACGCGCACCCTCTCTGCCCTTGTAGATTGCATTGGCTCCCTATCAGCACCTGGAAGAAGACATGCAGAGCCTGAAGCAGGTGTTGGAGATGAAGAACCAGCAAATCCACCTGCAGGAGAAGAAAATTATAGAGTTGGAGAAGCTGGTGAGTCGCTCTGCTTGCTCCGGAGACTAACGGCTGTGACTTTCAGTGTCCCCGCCGATGACAGTGCTCAGTGGGGCATCCCCTCCCTGCCTGTCACCCACGGGTGAACAGGAAGCTCACAGCTGAGCCTGGAAGCCCTTCTCACACAGCCAGGGCTTCTGACGAGCAGTCCCAGGAGCCTCCTTTGTCACTTCGCCAGTCTTTGCCATGGCCTTCCACCACCAAGGCCTCAGCAGGAACTGTCCAGCACTGCTGTGTCCCAGGCTGGGAAAAGCTCTGGCCTTCCTTTCCAGTAGCTCACCTGGGCAGTAGGTGCTGCCATGAGCCCAGAAGAGAAGCCTCAGAAAGGGACAGTTGCACCCAGCCTGTGAGTGGCTGAGGCCACGTGGCAACCCTGGTGGAATATTCCCACATCCTCACGTGGCAGAAGGAGCAGAGAGAGCAGTCATGGGGGTTCACCTTCAGGAGTCAGTCGCCTCCTGGTACTGTCACCTCAGGGAGTGGGCATCAGCATAGCTGTCTTGGGAGGACAGGAGCATCCAGTTCATAACAAAGTCTCTGTACCTCAGTCCTCAGCTTGGTCCCTGGGAACTCAGGGAAACCCCTAGGGAAACAGGGCCATGTCTTGCCCTCTCCTAGAGGCCCGAGACCCAGGGAAGGGCTAGTGTTCCTGAAAGGAATTCACAGTGTAGAGATACTGACCTCTGCAAGAGTCAGTCTTCAATAGGAAATTGGCCCAAAGCCATAAATGGTTTATTAATTTTTTTATTATTTTTTCATGTTTATTTTTAAATTATGTATTGATGTGCATGACTGTGTATGGATGGGTATGTGCTTGTGAGTGTAGTACCTACTGAGGCCAGAAGAGGGCATCAGATTCCCTTGGAGCTGGAGTTACAGATGGTCATGTGAGCTGGGAAACAAATTCAGGCCCACAAAAGTCATACTTGTTTTTAATGGCTGAGCCATCTCCCCAGCCCTAGCCCTGTTTATTATTTTTAAAAAATTATTTGCTACTATAAAAAGGAAGAGAGAATATATACATTATAGGAAATTATAAAGTAAGGTAAACAAAAACAAGAAAATTAAAATATCATATTCCAGCCAGGCAGTGACCCACCTTTAATCTCAGCACTCTGAGGCAGAGGCAGGTGGATCTCTGTGAGTTCAAGGCCAGCCTGGTCTACAGAGTGAGTTCCAGAACAGCCAGGGTTACACAGAAAAATCAAACCCCTCCCTGACAAAAAAAAAAAAAAATCATGTTCCTTCTACACTAACACTTTTCAGAGGTGTATTTTTTTTTTTTTTTTTTTTGGTTTTTCGAGACAGGGTTTCTCTGTGGTTTTGGAGCCTGTCCTGGAGCTAGCTCTTGTAGACCAGGCTGGTCTTGAACTCACAGAGATCCACCTGTCTCTGCCTCCCGAGTGCTGGGATTAAAGGCGTGTGCCATCACTGCCCAGCTTCAGAGGTGTATCTTGATACCCCATCATACATCCATGCACACACACGCGCACACACCCGCGCACACACACACACACACCCCATATTTTGCCTTGTACAATGTTTTATAGCCCACTTCCAATGAACAGGATTTTGTTGTTGTTGTTGTTGTTGTTGTTTTGTTTTGTTTTGTTTTTCCAGCTACGGACTTGCTGTGTAGTCCATGCTGGTCTGAAACTTGTTATCCTCCTGCCTCCACCACCTGAGTACTGAGATTACAGGTGTGTGTCACACATTCGCCTTCGAAGATTTAGTTCCTGGACACCTCATCCTGATTCGTTTCTGGAACATTCTTTGCAACTGGTTTACCCAAAACAGGAGCTGGCCCAGCAGCAGCTGCTGCATTTAGTCCATGCATTGCTCTCTGTCTGCAGGTATCTCTTGTTGTGTAGGTGCATGCTAGACCATGGGACGTTACCATGGTCTTGGGCGGTGGAGGCCACATGGCTCATTCCAGCAACCCCGTGCCTACCACGAACCTCAGGGGATGCACTGACCTGATCTTGCCTTGTATCCTGGCCAGGGTGACCCTCAAACAGCCATCCATCTTCCTCTTGGTGCCTGGACTGTCTACATAAGCTCACCCGCAAGCCCCTGGGCTGATCTGGCTATGTTCAGCCATGATCTGGCTTTGCAGGAGGCCTACATGTCTTCCTGTCCCAGGAATCTACTTTCTGCTCCCTGGGAATAAAGATGAAGGCGAGATCGGGTGCCTTGCCCCAAGCCTTGGCATGGATCCCAAGGCCTAGTCATAGGCAAGTGGCAGTTGTCTTTAAAGATTAGCTATGTGAACCATCAGTGTGCTCCCCTTTCCACAAGGCAATCCAGGCCCAGGGGCTCACCCCAGTCATTGTAGCAGCTAGGAGGCTAAAGCAGGAAGGTTGCCATGTTTTCCAGGGCGGCCTTAGTCACATGACAAGTTCCAGCCAACATGGGCTACAAAGTGAACCATACTTCAAAAAAAGAAAAGAAAGAAAAATCTAAACGTAGAATGAAAGCAGATCCCCCAGCGACAGACAGACATCAAGAAGTGGAGAACAGCAGCCACCATAGGCTTCCCCAATAGGGTGCCAAGACTTCCTCCGTTTTTAAAATTGACCTCTGCTTCTGTATCTTTCATGACAAATAAGAGCCCTAAGGCTTCTAGGCTTCTTTGCTTTGTGTTTCTGTCTGGAAAGGAAAAAGTGTGCCCACAATACTTGGCTCTCCAGCCCTGTTAATTCAGAAGCTCTTGTGTAGGGCAGTGTGTGCACTTGGCAAGAGACAGTGATTCACTACAGATGACACAGGACCCACTGGTCAAACAAGGCTCTGGTGGTATCCACAGCTTGTTTCTGACTATGACAGTGACCTGGAACATTTACTGTAAAAATAAAAACAACAACAACAGAAAAAAACAAGTTATTTAACTGGAACTCATAACTAGCGCTCTCCCCCCCCCCCCCTCTCTCTCTCTCTCTCTCTCACACACACCTGTGTACTGCACACTGCTTTTCTCTACCTACATTGCACTCGGGTATTTTCTGTTCTGTTTCTCTGAAACACGAAACGCTGGTCCCTTATCCATCTCACCTGACTTTCTTCTGCCCACAAGGCCACTGTGGAGAACGGTTAGTGAAGAACTGTTCCTGGCAACCCCCCATAGTGTTGAATCCAGTGCCACTGCTGGCCTATGGGAGTCCTTCAGTAGTGTTTCTCTCCTAGGTGGAGAAGAACATCATCCTGGAGGAAAAGATCCAAGTTCTTCAGCAGCAGAACGAGGATCTCAAAGCAAGGATTGACCAGAACACGGTTGTTACCAGGTGAGTGAGCGCACCTGGCTTCTGATGACATGTCCTGCTCAGATGGCTTTCCTTGAACATCTGCATGTCCCTGTGTCCAGCCTGAATAATCCAGCGCCTCTCAAAGGATCAGAAGGAAAGCACATGGCTGTGGCCCCTTAGAACACATCCTGGCTGTGGGTCACATCACTCCCCATTCCCTAGGACAAGAGAGTATAGACCACAGCCACAACAAGTGCTGTGATTACTTCCTGGAGATTAGGAGAGGGCTAATTGGCAAGGCTAAAAAGAACCACGGCTAGGTGACAAACCCAAGATTCCAGAAGCTCAGGTCAGTTTGTCCCTACAGGATCCTCTCTCAGCAGCCTTACTTCCAAGGAAGGATTGGGAATCACCCTTGACCCCAGGTCAGAGTGGGGTGAAAGCAGGGCTTGGAGGCCAGCTGTAGGCTGTTCTGATCAGCAAGGCTAGTGTGTCATGAGTCTCTTTCTGTCCCGCTACCCAGCTCCCAACAAAATGACATGAAAACTTATTATTAATTAAGAAAGCTCGGCCTATAGCTTAGGCTTGTCCCACTAGCTCTTATAACTTAAATTAATCCATTTATATTAATCTACATTTTTGCCTCGTGGCTTTTTACCTATCTTCCACCTCGCACCTCCTGTTTCCTCTCCATGTCCTCTGGCATCTCTCCTATGCCTAGTTCAGCTCCTCTTCCTCTCTCTCTCCCGGAAATCCCACCTAACCCCTTCCTGCCTAGCTATTGGCCATTCATCTCTTTATTAAACCAATCAACTTGATAAAGACACGTGTTCACAGTGTACAAAAAGATTATCCTACAACACTAGTGAGACCCAGGCCCGAGTCCTTTCTCACTCAGCTGGACCATTCTCCTCTGTGCAGCCATGATGTATGATCCTGCGTATATACATACACTCATGTGCACACACTCCTGCGGACACAGGCACACACATGCTCACACCTATACTCATATACTGACACTCACACTTGCGTGCTTATACACTCACTTACACTCCACTCGTCCACATGCCCACACATACCCAGCCGCCTTCCTCAGACAGCAAGTACAGGCATTAGTCCAGAGTAGTGCTCCTGGACTCTAGCCCATCCAGTTGGAAGATGTGTCTGTGTTTCCTGTTAATTCCTTGAAGAGGCTGTCATTTTTAAAAATACAAAATGGGCTAGACAGGTGATTCAGTGGCTAAGATCACTGGTTGCTCTTCAGGAGGACCCAAGTTTAATTCCTGGCACCCTCATAGCAGCTCACAACCCTCTAGTTCCAGGGGATCCAGCGCCCTCTTCTGGCCTCCACAGGCACTGCACACAAGTGGCTCTCAGACATGCATGCAGGCTAAACACATATAAAGTAAAAAAAAAATCATTAAAAACATGCAACAAAGTCAACAACTTAAGCATCATGACACACACACACACACACACACACAAATTGACTTTTCTTCCACCTTTATCAGCAAACAGTAAGTAGGCATCTTTTTTCTGGGTGCCATGCTGAATGCCAGTCCAGAACATAACAGAGCCTCGATCCTGCTTCCTAGGGCTTGTGGTCCAGCAGACAGGTGGCTGTACAGCAGAGCTAATGACTTTGGTCACAGAGGCATTGACCCAGGGCATAAGGTAGTGGCGAGCTATTCCTGGCTGATTGACAGCTGTCAGTCAGTACCCTGACCGTTGCCATGGACAATCTCCATCTCTACCTCGAGAAGGCAGCCTCTCCTGTGCCCCTCTAGCAGCCTGCCCACACTGCCCACCCACCTCTCTCTTTTCTGCTCCAGCCTCTAGCCTTTGCTCTGCGTACAAGCTCCACCTCCCCTTACTCAGCAAAGTCCTGTGAGCGCTGGCCCTCTGCCCACCAGCCGGCTTTGAGTGTCCTTGGTAGGCCTGCTACCTGACCATCATTCTCCCCCATGCAGACAACTGTCGGAGGAGAATGCTAACCTCCAGGAATATGTGGAGAAAGAGACCCAGGAAAAGAAGAGACTGAGCCGAACCAATGAAGAACTACTTTGGAAGCTCCAAACTGGGGACCCCACCAGCCCAATTAAATTGTCCCCGACGTCCCCAGTGTATAGAGGCTCCTCCTCTGGACCGTCCTCTCCAGCCAGAGTTGGCACCACACCTAGATGACATCGTTCTGCCACCTCCAGGAGCTCAGGCTTCTGTCCGTCTGAGGGAGTGCTGGCCAGGTGCTGGCGGCCATCCTGTGCGCATGCTCAGTAGCTGCATGTGCGTCTTAGGCAGCGTCCTCTCTGACCCCCGTGTGAGACCGTCCTGGTATTGAGGCTTAGAAAGGTGTAAGCAGCAGAGTCTGGTGTCCCAAAATGTATTAGTGTAGTTAGAGGCAAAAGAGAAACAACTCCAATTGTTCTTGACCGATGAGCTTTCACAGCGGACGTTTAGGTCAGTTACAAACAGCTCCGTTTGGAATGCACAAACCCTCCTCGTACGACCGCGTGGGTATATTCAGACACGTGGGTATACACACGTGGAGATTCTGAATTGCGTTTTTTATAACATGATGGGCTGACATATTTTAGTGACGGTCAGCAGTTTTCTAAGTTGTGCCTAAGAATTATTGGGAAATGAAAATGCATTTCTATGTAGTTTCCTGGAAATATTTCTACCCAAAATAGAAGGAGAAAAAAAGAAAAAAAAAAGAAATAGAAGCATTTCTGTCTGCCACCGAGTGGTACCCTGCTTAACACAAACACCAGCGATTTGTAGATGGTAACTACCTTTGGAGCAATTAGCTTCTTAGTCTATTAAGGTGGGGTCCCTGCTACCCCATTGCAGGATTTAGTTGTGACTCCGCCCACCCTGAGAGGATAAAACAAAAGTAGCGGGGCGGGTGGGGACACCAAGGGGTTTGGCCGATGTTTTTCCCATTAGTGATTCATGATAGTTTTGGAAACACCAGTTTAGCTTCCTCTCCACCCCCCACCTAAATAGCATCTCCGAGTCCATCATTAAGCTATTACTGAATCCTCAGGAAGATACGGAGGAGTGTGACCTTTGTAATAAGGGTGAGCATGAACTTGGAGGAAAGCAATACCCTGCATGGTCCATCCTCATGAAGGAAGAATGCTGATAGGGACCACATTCGACCAGGCGCGGAATAAGGACGCGGGCTCCTGTCATTGGCTTTCATAGGCAGCACTCCCCCTCCCACCTCCATTTTCAGTTTGGTTCTTTGACTCAACCCCATCACCACCACACATCAAGATGGCTCAGGGGTTCTAGTCAGGGCTTCCAGAAACCAACCTTTCTGTCTGGGGGTGGGGGGGAGGGGCCCGGTTCTAAAGGTGCTAGATCATGTTCTTTCTGATGGAGGATCACCAGGGCTGCCCCTGGCTGTGGTCCCATCTTAGCCCCGGAAGGCTCTCCCAAATAAGGGAGGCCGGTGTCACAGCCAGCCAGCGGCCAGTGGCCAGCAGCCGCTGGACTGGTCTTTGTCTCTAAGATGGTAGAATTAGAACATGAAAGGTATTCATGTAGTGCTATGGACGATTAGAAGCATGACCCACAGAAGAGACGTAGTTTATCAGTCAGCACAGTGGTGATAATGATACCTTTGTTTCCTGTATGTGACAAAGACCCTTCACTTCCTAAGCATGGGCCTGTCTTTGAGCATGTCCAAGATGAGAAGAGCCACTGAGCCAGGAAGAAAGAGCCTGGGGACGGTGTCAGCTTGTCCAAGGACACACATAGCCAACACAGAGGCAGATGTGGTCTACATCCCTCCTGCGGCTCGTTCATGTGACTGTAGTCAACCTCCATGGGCCTTGCCCATTCTGGAGACATCTACAGTAGAGACACACTGAAGACACAGGTCCTTTGCCGTTGGCTCTGCATGATACTGGGATACTGAGTTGGGCATCCCATAAGAGTAGCTCATGCCATGTCAATTCAACACACAGTTCTTTATTCTTTTAGGAGGCCCAACCTGCAGATATAAGTTTGGTGGCTGCTTAGCTCTCCGAATCAGGACCTGCCTCCACAGCCGCACCTGCGGATGGCGGGTCCTCAGCAATACAGACTTTGATGTGAGTATAGAATGTGGTACAGTATGTTAGACTGTTGTGGTCAAAGTGGTAGCAATGTTAGAGCTATATACCCTCACTAGGTGGACTAGAGCTTTGCCCTAATCAGCCTTGACCTTGGGCACTTGAACCAATTTCCCCATGGCCCTGGCTTTGTTTCTCCATCACAGACACCTCTCACGTATGGTGCCACACTTGAACTGAGTCCTGAGATTCAGGCGGCCCGAGCTGCTGTGCCTCTTCCACCATCCTTCTGTCTCCATGCTGCTGTGATCTAGACCTCTCAAGCGTGGGAATCGGTGTCTGGCCTCATCCCCAGGCTGGGACACAGCGTCCTCCCCTCCTGCCACAGACAGACCTACCAAACAGTGCTAGGCTCTTGATGGAGCCAGGAGGTCCTGCTGACCTGCTTCCACTCCCTCTCCATGGGCTGGGACCAGGTTCTGGTGATGTCAGGATGGGTCTGGGGCTTGGGGGTCTGATACTCTGGGATTAGTTGAAGGGGCACAATGTTCTTTTTCCTGCCCCTCCAGTTTCTGTGTTCCATATTTGTGTTGAACTTTAAAGCTTATTAAAACGGATCTGAGGAATTTTCCATGATATCCGTGTGGTGTGTGTAACTGGAGACATGTCCCATTCAGGCTCAAGTTGCCGGGAAATGAAGCAAAGGTATTTTTATACCCCTTTCTGGGTGTGCCAGAGTTGATGGCCACCAAGAAAAGTCTAGCGGCTCCTCTGCTCCCAGACTCAGCAAGTCCAAAGCTTGTACTTTCCCCACAGCCCACCAACTGGGAGCCAAGCCTATGATCGTATGGGCTTATTCGTCAGGCGCACATTTGTTCATTTCCGCCCGAAATCAGCCACTCTTCCCTTCTCACCAGCCGTCCACTGTGGATTATGGCCATTTATCCAACCTAGCCTGACCCCACAGTGTCCCACAGGTGCTGGCATTGCCTGGGGGGAGTCATGGGGGAGACCCAAATTTTCCAGTTTCCCGTATTCATTTTGGTGGAATGTGTAGGAACGGCAGAGAGACCATAACTAGGGGTCCCTGTGTTCGTGGCACTTCCTGGACCTATGATGAATCCCCCAGGGTCTCTTGAATGCCAGTCAAGCTTCCCGAATTATTGATAGAAGCCTAATGATTGACGCCCGACGTGTCACCAGGTCCTGAACTCTTAGTTTCTCCAGGGATATAACATGCCCTCCACATTTTAGTAGCCACTGTCCATTGTTCTCATCCACGCCCTGTGTGACACCACCACCTGTGTTTATTGGGGGTTTGGGTGGTGACCCAGCCCCTGGCATGTTCAGGAAATGAGATCGACGCCAGCTGTGGGAAACCGTGTTCCCGCCCATGGCTGATTCTCTGCAGGCAGAGGGAACTTGGGACTCGAACCCCTCGTCGCCTTTTCTGAATCAAAGAGCCTTGACAATCCCAGATCACCTGTGTGGGAGACCTGTATCACGTCAAGTAGGACCCCGTCAGATGGCACCCTCCCTATGGTTAGCACCAGAGGTTGCTCTCAAAGGAGGTGCCGCATTAGTGGATGGTACCAATGGACAACCGTGGTCTTCTGACTCCCCGGGCTCTCGTGCATGGTGATGGGGTCTGGAGCCTGCCCACTCTGGGGTCTGCGTCAGCTGTGCACATGTGTGCACATGCCTCTTTAGACAATAGTTCTAGCTTGGTGGGCAAGCTTAACTCAGTGAACTGAAAGGGCTGATCCCTTTGAGCAAGGGCTGACAGGCTACAACAGCCATTTCCGATCCCGCCCACTGCAGCCTTATGTTCTGCCCAGGTCTGTGTAGTTGGCAGACAAGGCAACTCTCTGGGCTATGGGGCCATACAGATTCTTCCAGTTCATAGAATACTGAGCCAGAGGGGACAGATATGACTCACCAGAAGTGTTTCATAACCAAATGGTGTGAAGGAACGTTTGCTCACACAGGACGTCCTATCCGGACCCCACATTGGAAAGGGTTTTCTGGAAACTGCTGATGCCTTTGCATGCCTTTAAAGTCTATGAGCACAGTACCCAGTGTCACCCACTAGATGGCACTGGGGAGCTGCAGGAGCCAGGACCCACGCTGCATTTCGCTCAATTCAAACTGACCAGAGTGGTAGCCTTTTGGGGGCAGGGGATAGGGAGGAGTTGGAGACAGGCTTTCTCTGTATGGTCCTGGCTGGCCTTGAACTCACAGAGATGCACCTGCCTGTGCTTCCCAAGTGCTGGGAATAAAGGCGTGTGCCGCCATGCCTAGTTGACAGCTTCCTTCTGACTGAACTTCAGGATCAAGACACCTGTGCCTTTCGGTTCCAGGATGCATGGGGCGTTCTCTGGGTGACTGTTGTGAGATGGGACTGGGTTGATTCTTGCACCCCATAAGCTGTATCCAACAGTAACTGCACCACAGTGGAGGCACCCTGTACCCCCCCAACACTGCCTGAGCTCAGGGAGCTGCTTTCCCAGGTCAGCAATGAAGGGGCAGTAGCCCACTCGAGCATGGCTTTGGCAGGCCTTGCCCTTTCCCCCCATTCCCTCTGCCTTGCTAAAAGCCTTTAGACTACACTCCTAAAGCTAGCCACCAAGGTCTATTCCCTTATTTGGCTACTTCCTTCTCCTGAGACTGACTACCAAGGTCCAGCTATTATACTACTTTGTTAAGTATTGACATCCAACAGTCAAAAGCCCCTCTGGCTCACCTAATTAACATGCCCAACTAAAATTAAATGCCTCATGCTAACACGAGGTTTCCCTTTTTACCTTTATAAACCAGCATGTGCCTATGAGCCACGGCTTTCTCTTCTCTAATCTTTCCCTTCTGGAGCAAATGAATCTCCTTTGTGTTGAGAACTTGGTCTCGGGGGTGCTGAGTCAACACTAACGTTCAGTCAAGGGGAGCTAGGGGTGTGATGTGCACCCTTCCCTTCTGGATAGATGCCTGACACTTAGACTTGGTGCCTGGTGCCAGAAATACACCCCTGGGTGTCTGCCACCACCGTCAACTCGGAAAGCACCAAGGATAAAGCTCAGCTTCCAGCCTATGAATCACTGTTCTCCAAGTAGGGCCTGAAGTCCAACTGGCGGGACTTGCCTCCTGTGCTATAAATGAATGAACAGATGCTAAGTGTGCCCTTCCCTAGAGCACCAGGGAGTCAGATATCCATCATCCTTAGATGCGTTACAGTCTTAGGCCCAGCCTGTGTTCTGCACAAAACTGTTTCCTCCAAGACGGTGTGCGTGGCAGCCAGGGCAAGTCTCTGGTGTCTGTGGGCTGGGGGGATTTTGCTGAGACCAAAGTCCTCTAGTTTAAGATTGATGGCTGATGAACCCTAAGTCCAGGTGAGTCTGGAGGGGTTAAATGGAGAGACAGCAAGAATCTAGAAGGTCAGGCCTAAAGTCTTCCCCAAATGGCTTCTAGAAAAATCGAGGCCACAATAGCATAGCCACTGGCTGTGCGCAAGGCAGAAGATACTGAAGGTGCCGAGCAGGCCCTTGACTCTTCAGACTGGAACAGGCTCAGGAACCAGCCAAGAGCTGCTAGGACACCCGAGATCACACGGTGTGCGTGGAAGCCAGACAGGATTTATTAGCATCTGCAAAAGCTTGAGAAGGTACCACACAGTAGCTTTGATTTTACAACACGGACTTGCGGGAGGGGGGGGGGGGCCAGTGTACAATGTCTTCAGCAACGAGGGGAAACACAAGTTTCACATTCTTAAAAAAGGTCATGGATGACACCTGCACTTGGCCTTAAAATAAAAGAGAATTAAAGCACGGGAATCCAGCAGAGACCAGCTTGATTTACAGTTAGCATCAGTCTTAATCTAACATTACCGTTATAAGAAACTGCAAGAAGACTATTAGAAAAATAGAACCTCAAACAAGCCAAAAAATATATACAATTTACATAATGAAAAACCACACATAACTTTTAATAATGGCTCCATGTTCAGTAGAAGGAAAAAAAATTGTCCTGGAGAAACCACAACTATTCAGGTTTGATAATAAACCAACCCTCATCGGTATCATGACCCTTTGTGATCCTTTACCCTTCAAAGCTGCAAGGCACAAACGAAGCAGGAAATATCTTAAATACATACATATATATATATATTATAACTTCTCAAATGGGAAAATAAGTCCCAAACTCAAAAAGCTTGGCAAGGAACACAAAAGTAACCCTTGTCAATAAATTAGTTCATATATGTCTTCCTAAACCTTGCTTCCTGGCCCCGCTGGGCATGCCAGCACCCTGAGAATATGTCTGGATATGATCTTCCATCTCCCCCGGGCGTTTTAGCCAGCCATTCAGACATGTAACAGAATGGTCCAGGAGAGCCCCCCTTGGTCACTGTGTCCCCAAACCATTGGCCACACCGTATTCCCCAGCTCAAATGGAGCAGTGGGTACAGAAAGACTAGATTCGAGTGAGGGAGGTAAAACCCAATTGGTAAAAATTTTTTTTTGCCTTTAAAAAAATAAAAATCCATCACAACCAAGTTGGCCTCAGGAGTGTGGCGAGTTGGACAGCTTGCTCTCCTCCAAGGAGCCTTATGTACAATCTTCTCATTACGATAGCAAACATAAGGTTCAAACTACGTAAAATAAGTGTACATAACATACATTCAACTCCGAATTTGAATTCTGTAACAGTTCCCATGTGTCATGTATTCTCTGGCCAGCGACTCCCTTCGCTAGGAGCTCAGCCAGATGTGGACTCAAACTTCCTTCTCCCACCACCAACACCCCAAGGGATGGGCACCCTGGCACTTCGATCCCCACTAAGATTCCTTAGTGCTTGGATGCTAACCGAACAGTTGGCTCTGAGTAAAAAGATTTAAGTATCTGTGGGGACATAAGACATTCAAGTCGGAAAGGATGGGTCCTGGTGAGAGCCAGGCATGAATATTTGCATTGTAGGTAGGTACACAGACCAGCAGTGCCCGTGACTTTGCCGACAGGTATGGGTGGGCCTGTGGGGCATGCCTGCACTTATCCCAGGAACCCAGTTTTTCACACTGCTGTTTCCAAGCTTCATCCTGTGTTAGACGAGGAACGAGTTCCTCGTTAGAGGGGACTGTAAACGCTAGCCAATTCAGGTCTGCCTGGGGGAAGGGGTAGGTACAAACGTACTCATGAATTTCCCAACACTATGCATGAAAAGCAGCAGGCAGTAGACAGGGCGGAGTGGATTACATATTCCCTTGGTGAGCTCACACCGGCTGAGCCAAATGTGCAGGAGGGAGTGTATCCAACCCTTGACCACTAAGGACAGGTGGAGAAGCCCAATGTCCCCCACAGCCCAGTAGTCACTTCTGGCCACTAAGACATGGTGTCCAAACCAGCTCATCAGCTCAGGGGACTGGATGGCTGTTGGGTGGAGGTATGAGATGATGCCACTGTAAAACCCAACTGTGAGCAACCGAGAACAGTATAAGCCCAGCAATCTTCCAGAGAAGTGTCCTGGACAGGACTCGACTTTTTCTTTGTTTGCAAAGTAAACCCACAACGGCCTGGCTGTAGGGTGCAGGCAGGGATGGGGTATGGGCATGGGTGCATACGCATACGTCCACACATATACAGAGG